TAGATTTAGCTACTTTTAGCTTTAGGTTAGCACTTTGCTACTTTTACACGTTGGCTAAGAATTTGCCACTTTTAGCTAACATTTTGCCCCTTTTTGCTTTTAGAAAGTGTTGAGCTACTTTTAGTTCGCATTTTGCTACTATTAGTGTTTACATAGTATTTTTGCTCTATTCAGCTAGCATTTTGCTGTTTTGTATTTAGCTAGTGTTTTTCAACATTGATGGTGGATTTAGCTACTTTTAGCTTTAAGTCAGCATTTTGCTACTTTTACCTGTTGGCTAATATTATTATGTTGTTTATTTGTCATATGCAGGTTAACGCAAGGTCAGTGCAATGAAATGTTCAGGATGAGAAGAACCGATTTGACTCGCTAAGAAAAAAAAAAAAAAAACAAGAAATACTAAAGCTTGCAATAAGGGTACAAACTAAAGTACCAAAAAGTGAATAAGAAATATAATATTTAAGGTCCAAAGAAATATAGTAAACAACAGTGTGGTTGAATATAACGGTGCAAGTAGGATGAATTTGTATCAATAAGTATTTCAAGGTAATATAAGCTTAAATGCGCATGATATACAGTATATTGCACATAATTAACATAAACTACAGAGGTTGTGTGACAGGTTATTGCACAGGTAATGAGGAACATTGAGATCGATTGAATTATGATGGTAAGGTACATACATGATGCAGCCACATAGTGCAGCAGCAATAAACATATTAGGTGTCACAGAAATTATTAATTAATTAATAGTTAGCCACTTTAGCTAATATTTAGTCACTTTTTGCTTTTAGCTAATGTTTTGCTAATTTTAGTTAGCATATTGTTACTATTTATATTTTGGTTGTATTTTGCCCTTTTCAGACAGCATTTTGTCAAGTTTCTTTATTGTCATTCTCATCTCATGTGGTACATGTGGTGGAACGAAATTGTGTACACAGGGTCCCAGTTACATCCAACAATAAAATGTAAAGAAAAACAGTAACACGATCTAGGAATATGCTAAACACTAATAGTGCAAAAACAATACGCAGAACAACAGCAGCACGAACATGAATCTGTGTGAGCAGGTCAGTATTAATGAACACAGCAGCGTGAATAAATCAGCAGCATGAGATCAGCAACATGGATAATCAGCAGCACATATCAACAATCAAGTGGTATTACAGTGATTTTTTTTTTTTTTCCACAGTGATAATCCTAATCAGGGATTCATGAGTCTAACAGCCTCAGGGTAGAAGCTGTTCCTCAGTCTAGTGGTTCTACACTTAATGCTCCTCAACCTCCTGCCTGAGGGGAGCGGGGCAAAAAGTGTGTGTGCTGGGTGAGTGGGGTCCTTCATGATGCAGGTGGCTCTTCCTACATCTGGAGGTGTTGATGTCTGATGGTGGGGAGACTGATTCTGACAGACTTCTGTGCAGCCTTCACCACTCTCTGCAAAGTTTTTCATACATTGAAGGTGAATTTAGTTACTTTTAGCTATAAGTCAGCATTTTGCTACCTTTACCTGTTGGCTAATAATTTGCCACTTTAGCTAACATTTTGTGGCTTTTAGCTTTCACTGTAGCCGACTTAGTGTTTAACGTTTAAGTTAGATTTAGTTACGTTTAGCTTTAGACTAGCATTTTGGTACCTTTATCTTTTTTTTTTTATTTTTTTTTTTAGCATTTTTCCCCTTTTGTCTTTTAGATAGTGTTATACATGTTTTAGCTTTAACAACTCAGTTTCATCTTTTTATCTTCTGTTTGCACATTCAGTGTTCACAGCTCGTTTCTGCAGAGATCACTTCAATTTGTCTTGTTAAATCCATTTTGCACGCAGTTCAGATCTTGCAGCTGCACTCTGTGATGCCACGATGTGCAGTTATTATTTACAGAAAACCACAGCTGAGCAGAAATACACAGAGGTTTATGGAGCATCCTTTACTGATGGGGTCTGAATCTCCTCACTGCACCCCCCCACCCCCCAGCTTCACCTTGCATCAAAACTGGGTTTATTTCTGATGCACCCGGGGGGAGGAAGGGGGGATGCTGATGGTGACGCATCCTCGAAGCACAGGGTGGAGAAAATGACAGAAACACCACAAACAGCTCAGCTTTCACCGCTGGAGAGGATTTAGACGAACAGAACTTGCAGCATCTGATGTTTTTCCCTCTTCTTCTTTATGTAAAAGGATAAAACGCGCCATGAAAAGCGGGTCAGTCTGCTCTTACCTCGCTCGATGTCCCTGCTGATGTGCTCTGCGTGCGTGAGGCGCGCGGTCCGGCCGATGATGATGAGCAGGGAGTGTTTGTGGGGGCAGAAGCCGAGCTTGGCGGAGACCTCCCTCTCCAGCAGCCGGCTGGACGCCATGTTGGAAACTCTGGTGCGATGACGTCATAAAAATCCCACAGCTCAGCTGCTGGAAGACTGAGAGCTGTAAATGTTTTATGAAGGGTTTTAATTAAAGCCAACAAACGAGTCTATATATTTCTATCAGTGGCTTCTAATGAAATGTTCATTTGAACAGAAGGATTTTTAAATTATGTTAAAGAGTGAAAAATAAACCCTGGCTTCAACCTCGTAGTCCATAATTCTGATTTTTGTTGGTTAGATTATTGCTTTTTCAAACTACAAATTTATTTAGAAATCAACTCAAAGCCATGTTTTTATGAAACAATAAATCACATAAAAATGTACAAATGCACAAGAAAAGTTACTGAAATAACTTGACACTGTTGATGCTTTTGAATTTAATAAAACTGGCCCTGACAATAAAAGATGGCACCTGAACTAAACATTTTATTCTTCAGCCTTTTGAAGTATTTCAGTGAATTCTGTAGCTCTGAGTCTTCTGCACCTGTCCACAGGTGTTTTGTTCCACTCCTGATCAACAAGCTGTCTCAGGTTTGAAGGGTTTCTCCAGATGTTTCAGCTCTTTCCACAGATGTTCAACAGGATGTGGATCAGGGCTCAGAAGGCCAGTTCAGAACAATCCGATGCTTTGTTCTGATCCACACCTGACTGTTTCTAGCTGCGTGTGTTCAGCGACCCATGAGCTGTGATGGAGACCCATCCATCCATCCATCCATTATCTTTACCCGCTTATTCCATTTTGGGTCACGGGGGTCGCCGGTGCACATGTCCAGCAATCACTGTGCGAGGGGTGGGGTACACCCTGGACGGGTCGCAAGTCCATCACAGGGACACATAGAGACAAACGAGACAAACAACCATTCACTCTCTCACTCACACCTAGAGACAATTTAGAGTTACCAATCAGCCTAACATGCATGTTTTTGGTCTGCGGGAGGAAACTGGAGTACCTGGAGAAAACCCACGCATGCACCGAGAGAACATGCAAACTCCACCCAGAAAGGCCCCTGGACCGGGGTTTGAACCAGGGACCTGCTCGCTGAGAGGCAGCAGCTCTACCAGTTGCGCCACCGTGCTGCCCTGGTGATGGAGACCAAGCTTCCTAAAACTGAGCAGCACATGTTGCTGCAGAATGCCTTGATAGTAAAGACGTTTCAATTGATCAGACACCAATCATGATTGACCGATTTCCGTTAAAAAGTATGTGATCGACCGATACCAATCAATGCCTTTCAGTGCCAATTACAAAAACCAATCACCTTTGCAGCTTGCAGAGGTCCAGTGGTGTATATATATTTATATATATATATATATATATATATATATATATATACATATACATATAAAGTATAAACATGATTCAAGACACCTTGTGTCAGTTGCAATGAAGCAGGTCCAGAACAGAACGGAGACTCCTCCATGTTTCTCTGAAGGTACTGCGTTCTTTTCTTCGTTTCATTTTTGAGTTTATGAAGAGCTGATGGGACTTGTTACCAAAAAGCTCCAGTTTTGTCTCATTTGTCCAGAGGACATTGTCCCACTTTGGCCACTGTAGCTCAAACAGATCTGACACTGACGTACCTTGACCTTGAAGCTCTAATCTCTTTGGAGGTCGTCTGGGCTCTTTAGTTTCTATTAACAGCCTCTTCAGTCGTCACTTTTCCTCTTGAGGCCACATTCAGAGAGGCTACAATCCTGTAGACCTTAAACGTCTCACGTTCTCTGTGCTCCATGTTTGACACACACTGTGACACCAAACAGCTCAGTGACTACACATTGTGATTAAGAATGAATTCACCTGTGATGCTGCTCACAGGACACACCTGAGTTCAACACGTTCATATGGTCCAGTTAGTTTCAGTCTTTTTGTTTCAGGTGCCATCCTTTTAGGACAAAATCGGATTAATTTGTTACTATTTTTTAATAATTTTGTTGAAATGAAAATTTTATAGCATTGACTGATGTTCATTAAATGATGTATTGTATTTTTTATTATGTTTCTGAAGTTTCAAGTTATTTTACTGACCTTTGTGGGTTTTCTTTCGTGAGCCAAAGAACAAAGTTTCTGTTACTTCCCTTCGTGACACAACCATAAACACATTATGGATCAGTGCATATCACCCGCCATCTTTAATGCTGCCTTTTAGAACAAGATCATGGTTCATGAGATATTTTGCTAACAGACAGACACATGAACACAGACAAAAACATTGTCCTTCTGCTGTCAGTGTCATAAAAATTGTACAAATGAGACTTTTAACTTTTATAGTTAATTTATTGATTTATCTTTCTACAAATGTATTTAGAAACCAACTCGTGGCCATCTTTTCTGGACAAAGTGAAAAAATACGATAAAAGAAAAATAATTTCTCACAAGTTTACACATAAGTCCCGTTGTGACGCAACAATAAACATGAAGGAACAGCTACTCACAGATCATGAGTGTTCAGAACATTTGAGGTTTAAAAAAGAGGAGAAAACACTTTACATTATGTCTTTAGCGCCATGAAACTCTGTCTTCGTCGTTTGATTCATCTTCATCAACCCCATCCGTTCCTTTAACTTTATTTAATTTTGTATCTTATAAACATTTGAGAACCAAGAAGTTACAGGAAGTCCCTCGTGGGCAGCCGCACAGCGTGCCGATCCGCGCGCCTTTACGCACGGCGCACGGCTCCCCTGCGTCGCACTGAAACACAACAACAAACAATGATCCGCACAACGAGAATATGAAAAGTCACAATCATTGTTGCCTGAATGCATATCACCCGCCCCCATCAGCCAGAGATTATCTTATGTTGACAAATGACGGGGCTGTTTTGGTGAAACCGTGCGTGTTGTGAATGACTCTCAGCCACCACCACCTGAACGAGAGTCACTTCTGATTTACTTATCTGCGGTGGTCATCTGGAATTGAATTGTCTCTATGATAATTTACCAGCAATTTTCAATAAACCCTGTTTAGTGGTTCCATGTACATTTTGCTAACACACCCTCACTCACACACAATCCTTGATGAGTTGGATTAAAGTGTGGCGGTTTTCGGTGTTTACTTACAGAAGGCAGCCAGCCAAGCTTCTTCTCTGAGGGCATTTCTTTGTTTCTCAGCTTCTCCAAAACTCCCTGCAGGGCATCGATCTACACAGAAACCAAACAAAATGTTCATTGGTTTGAATTTTTTACCTCACTCTTTTAAGATTTTGTTTTTTATATAAGAGACACCCCCCCCCCCCCCCCCCCAAAAAAAAAAAAAAAAACTGAGTTTTCTTGTTCGTTTGTTTTTTTTACAAACTTGGGTAGTTTAATAGACTGTGCATAAAAGTTGCTTTTACTGTTTAACTTTGTCTAAATTCTGATGTTCTGAAATGATTTGTCTCCATAAAATGTCTCACCAGGTCCTTCTCCTGCTGTGTCTTCAGGGAGAAATCCAAGGAGCGCGTCTCCACAGAGTCCTGGGCGCGCGCGCTCTGCAGGAAGGCGCAGCAGCAGCTGATGGTGAGGAGGAGGGTCCGTGCGCTGACCATGGTGCTGAAACCCAAACGGGAGGAGCTCTTCTCTGCAGCTGGGGGGGACACAAGTCTCTGAGCGTCTCCCGTCCTGAGTGTCCCCCTCTTTATAGCAGCTGCTGACATCAGCCAGCCTCTAAAATATTCATGCAAACTTTGATTTGCGCGACTCTGCTGCACCTTTTGTCTCTTCAGGACAGAGGAAGCGCGTGAAGCTCAAACAGGTTAAAGGTTCATGAGATGGAAGAAGGAGGAGGCTTGAAGAAAAAACTCTCCTCTGCCGAGTCAGCTCTGCTGTTATAGTTTCCTCCACACTGTTTTAACCTTCAGCTCTTTCAGCTCTTTCAGCTCTTTCAGCTCTTTCAGCTCTTTCAGCGGCTGGCATCCAAACCTTCAGCTCTTTCAGGAAATCACAGCCATGACTTTAGTGTTTTGTGACGTTTCAACACTTTTAAATGTTTAACTTCATTTAATGCAACAGTTTAAATATTTTAATCTTGTGCTTTGTGAAATCTACATCAGTGTGTTTCATTTTAGCTTGTAGCTAATGTGTTTGCTTTAAGCTACTGTTCTGATACATTTAGCTTTTATTTTATCTTTTATTCAGTCAATCTTTATTTATACAGCTAGTTTCATGGAGTCATGAGGACTCGTTTTCAAGAGTGACCTGTTGGAGAGCAGATGGGGGTTAAGGGCCTTGCTCAGGAGCCAAGAGTGTGGTGAATGAGCTGGAGGCAGGTGTGGGTGCTTCACCTTTCCCACCCACATTTTGATGTCAGTCCGGGGAGTTGAATCAACGACCTTCCGATCACATACCCGCCTTCTCTAATGTCTGCGCCACCAGCTACTTTTAGCTACTGTTTTGATCAATTTAGCTTTCAGCTTGGCCTACTGTTTTCCTGATTTTAGCTTTTTGCTACTGTTTTGCTAGATTTTGCTTGTAGCTACTGTTTTCCTTGTTAAGCTGTTTTGCTCATTTTAGTTTTTAGCTGCTGTTCCTAACATTTTGATTTTCAGCTTGAGTTGCTGTTTTCTTGAATTTGGACTGTACTGTTTTGCTATTTGTACCATTTCAGTTCCTTACCTAAATTATTGGAGCATTTTTTGCACCATTTAGCTTTTAGCTACAGTTCTGCTAATTTTGACTTTTAGTAACTGTTTTGCTATTTTAGGCTTTTTGGATAATGTTCTGTCTTTTTATTTATTTATTTATTTTTAGCTACAGTTTTGATTATTTCAGCTTTCAGTTCCTGATTTTAGTTTCCTGAAACAAACTCCTTTTATGTGTAACATTCTTGGCCACGTAAACCTGATTGTGATTGTGTGGGATTATAATTTCTGTTCTGCTTGTTTTAGCTTTTATTGTTAGTTTAGATACATTTAGTTTTTAGTTTTCCTTTTATTTTTTAGCTTTTAATTTCCCTAGTTTACCTAACTAGAGTTTTTCTTTTGATTGTTTCGGCTTCTTCAACTAATTTCAGCCGTTTTTCAACATTCACACTACATTTTCACTGAAAATGTTACTTTTTCTTGTTTCAATCTGTTTCAGTGTGACAAATTACCACAAGCTCACACCAACATGAGGATATTTGCTTTGTAGCGAGAACATGAAGCCTCCGTTAGTAATCTCACTCACTGATGAGTCATTTTAATGTGGAGAACATGGAGGTGACACAGAAAGAACATTGTTATTCTGAATGTGAAGCTGCTAAACTCAAACAGAAGTGCTGCACAAATAATTTATTTGTTTTTTTTTAATGAACACAGACTTCTCTTCTTCTGTAGTTTTCCCTCTGGCGAGCCTGTCTACTCATGTCGTCGTTTTTTAATAAAACTGAAACCAGACTCAAATTAACCCTCACTGACATCAATCTGTTGGCTTAATTCAATTTCCTTCTGCAGGAGAACCTTAACCTCACCACACACACCTTCAAAGAAAAACCACAGTGTGTGTGTGTGTGTGTGTGTTGGGGGGGTCAAACAGAGTTGTTTGAGCACCAAACCGTCAGAAATCTCACATTGTGACGTCTCACCTCACATCAACTCATCATGGTCATGCGAAGGTCACGACCTCCTTCACTGTCTCCTAACAAAGATTCAAGTTACAGTTTATGATGTATATTTTAAAAACTCTTATTTTTTATGCTTTAATTGCAGATGTATTAAACCATCAGGTGCTTCTGTGGGCAAGCGGGGGAACAATAAAGAGGAAGTAGTTCATTTTTCTAATGTTATATCATGAAATGCTTTTTTTTAATATGGCATTCACATATTTTTCTTTAATTATACCTTTGTTTTTTATGGAGTATGTGTAATAAACTTATCTGCCTGGCTTTGATTTTTAACTTCACATCTTCTCCATTTAAACATTTATTTTGAAATAATTTCATAGTTCTTTTTTCTTTCTTAGATGGGATTCAATTTATTTTCTTGTGAAATGCCAAATAAGCAGATCCGTTCTCCAAAAGGTTCTGCAGTATAAGTCTCATCAAACTGTGAAGCAGTGAGGATTTTATTATTTTTATGTCTAACTCGTGGTGCTTTTAAAAAGCTACACACATTTTGTTGGTTGCAAATCACCAAACAAGTTGTAGCTCAGCCCCTCAGGTGGTTTCAGGTCAACCTTATACATAATATGTTTTAAACAGGTTTTTCTTTTTTCAGCCACAAAACATCATTCAGGTATTATTTGCTTTTTTGTACAATTTTCTTTAGTTTTACCGCTGCTGCTGCTACTACTTTTACTACTAAGAAGAAGAAGAAGGAGGAGGAGAAAACACAAAAGAAGAAGAACCAAAACTTGTGTTATTTATTTAAACTTTCTGTCTAAATAAAAGTTGAATGAATGAATGAATGTACAGCTACACTGGCCAGAACATGAAGAAAAAAGATCACTGCTCTTGCTGCTATTTATTTATTCCACCAGGGGGCAGTAGCACATCTTGATTGCCGGAAGTGAACAACGGAACAACCGGAAGTAAACATAGTAGCATCGTTAGCTGTGTCGCAAGCTTGTTCTGAATCGACTTTGTATCGGACTCATTTTACTTTGTATTATCTACAAAAGCGAAAATGTCTGAAAGAAAAGTGTTGAATGTAAGTAATTAAAACTCAAGGGCCTTCTTTTACTTGTTGTGATATAATTGTGTTTTTAACGTAACAGCTAAATAAAACACACAAGCGTCTTGTGTTTCAAGGTTAAACACAGTAAAGTTTGTACTGTTGAACTTTCATATACTATTATTTATATTTTTAAATAATTAATGTTTTTATTACAAGATTGAAATGCTTGTGTGGCCATCATGTGTCCAAATACAGCTAACTAGATGCTCTCACTTTCTGTTCACACAGAAATACTACCCACCAGATTTCGATCCATCCAAAATCCCGAAACTTAAACTCCCAAAAGATCGCCAGTATGTGGTCAGATTGATGGCTCCATTCAACATGAGGTGTGTCCGTTTCTTCAATGTTTAAGTAAATTAAATAAGTTTAGTGTGTGATACAGTTGATCACAAAGTTTTAGTGAGCTGCTACCTTAAAGCAACTTTACTAAAAGGACTCCACGCCTATGCCATGTTTGTTTATAATCTGTGTTTCACAGTTTCAGTAAATGTGCACTTAAATGGCTAATAATAACTTAAAGAATGAGACACATGTATAAAGTACACCCAACTATTCTTGACATTGTGTATACATATATTTTAGTTAATAACAGTTACTCAGAGGTATGTCCTCCCTGAACAAAGGTGTCAAGGTGTTGGAAAAACTAAGTGAGAATAACAATACAGCAGTGTAAATGTCAGACTGGTCTCAATGGAACTGCATGTAAGAATCAAACGTCTGCAAAGTTTGCTTCAGACCTCTTGTGATATTCTCTGTTCAACTTCCTAATCATCTTTTTGGTTTTCCAGATGCATTCTTCAGGTTTATTTAAACTCAGTTGGCTGTAGGAACCCTGTTTGCCTTTCTTTGTTTACAGTTAAAGACCGTCTTCTTTATTTTGGTTTTATTCAAGGTGTGATTTCCTAATAAGATACAGTTTGTGGCCTGTATGAATATTTTGGCCCTGTGCTTACAGGTGTAAAACATGTGGTGAGTACATTTATAAGGGGAAGAAGTTCAATGCTCGCAAAGAGACTGTTCAGAATGAGCACTACATGGGACTGCCAATATTTCGCTTCTACATCAAATGTACTCGCTGTCTGGCTGAAATCACATTTAAGGTAAGAGGTATTGCCATGAGTATCAGAACATTGTCTTAAGTTGTCATCTTTTGGTAAAACATCCTTAGCGATGTGGATAAAATAACTCTTTATACCCAGAAATAATATCTTATGTTGATCATCTAGACTGACCCAGAGAACACAGACTATGCCATTGAGCACGGTGCAACGCGTAACTTCCAAGCAGAGAAACTACTTGAGGAGGAGGAGAAGAGAATCCAGCAAGAGAGAGAAGATGAGGAACTGAATAATCCCATGAAGGTTGGTGTTTTTCAGCCTTTTTCTTTCCTAATGTTCTTCAAATGAACACTGGAAACATTTAAATGAACTTTGCTCACTCTCTCACCAGGTGTTGGAGAATCGCACAAAGGATTCCAAGATGGAGATGGAAGTTCTGGAGAACCTCCAGGAACTAAAGGAGCTCAACCAGAGACAGGCTCAGGTGGATTTCGAGGGAATGCTTGACCGATACAGAGAGATGGAAAGGAGGGAGAGGGAGAGGATAAAGGAGGAAGATGAGCGTGAAACAAAGTGAGTAGGAAAGGTGAAACAATTCTCTTCTATCACGTCATGCTAGCACGTGACGTCTAAGTAAATTTTATTTGCTGCTTTGCAGAGAACTGTTGGATCGTGCTCTAGTGAAAAGACTGAGGGACTCTGACTCTGATTCAGAAAAGGAAGAGGAGAGCAGCAGCAGCCAAACAAATTCATCCAGTGCAGCCAAACCCACAGACATCCTCACCACGGACCAGCACACGGAAGCACAGGTTTGTGCTCGCTCTTTAAACACAATTTTCCCTTAAGAGATTGGATTATGTGCCTTTTGTGCTAATCCTCAGGGTAAAGTGGAAAAAATAGTAGTTTCTTGTCCTTTTTCTGCAGGGAGCCTCATCTGGGGGCGTTAAGAGGGCCAAGGTGGAGAGCTGGGAGAGGAGCGTTGGGACTCTGGGAAGCAGAGGGGCTCTCAGCTCCCTGGTGATGCGAAAGAAACCAGCAGCGACCGTCAATGAATCTCCAGAGGAAACATCTGCTTCTCCTCCGATCTTACAACCAGGTAGCACATTTTGAACCGCTCACAAGGTCGACAAATTACTTTATTCTTTCAGCTTCAAGTACAACTTCTCTCTGATTTTGAGAGCACAATGAATATGTAATTTATTTTGCAGGTTCAAAAACATCCATGGCCGACTCCTCAAATGCATCGAAAGCTACACATAATGGCTCGTCGTCTCTCAGCCTGCTGGGGGCGTATTCAGACAGCGACAGCAACGACAGTGACTGACGCTCCGCTGCAGACTAAAGGAAACAGAATGGGATTGAATTTTTTTGAACCGTTGCACAGAAACTGAAATCTTTTGGTGTTTAATTAGGAAAACCTTGGCATGAGTTGTGTCCGCTGCATTTAACCACTGAAGTACAGTTTAGCTATTAAAGCTTAGTTTAGCAGCTCCACTGATGATTTGACTTTTTATCAGTGAACATTTACGTTAAAAAAGGGAGTTTCAGTGTCTCTGTTTTTTTCTTTATTAGGACCTCAACTAAAAACAATCTTCTATTAATTTGTGATGCGAAATCTATTGGCTGAATATTTTAGTTTTTATTCAAATATAATTATACCCCTTTGTTGGTGTCATGTTTACCATAATATGTCTGTTTTTTTCATGTAAAATGTTTATTCTGTTATTTTTAAATATATATATTTAGGTGTTTTTTTGAGAATAAGCAAAATCTTTAAAATGTTGGAATAAATTTTGTGAAAAATAAATGAGTGCTGTTACAAGATTGTTGCAGTTCGGAATCTGTTTATTTGATCATATCTACAAGAGTTTTATGTACTTGTGTTCAAATTTTTACCACACCTGAAAAATGTGTTGATAAAATATGAACTGCATTCAATTCTAATATTTTTAAGTAATATTATACTTATATGGTTTTACCTGAAATATAAAAAAGTGCAATTTAGAAGTAAATTTTTCTAGTTTAATTCAGCTTTATTTAGACGGCACTTTTCTAACAGGTGAAACAAAGGCTGAACAAATTAAACACACTTAAAACTGTCATTGAATAAAAATGAGTTGACCAAAAAAAAGCTAAATTTTAAAATTTATTAAAGAATTGAGGGGAAAATATCACTAAAAGTAAAGAAATGTGTGTTTGATTGTAATTTCTTTGTTTTAAAAATAAATGTACTGTAAAAGAACCTGTTTGTTTTTCTGTAGTTTGTGCTGCATCTGTTAGAAAAATGTATTTTGAGGTGAGTTGGGTTGCACCCATGAAAAAGTTACCAAATCAAGTCTGCCAATGCCAGAATGCTTATTCTGCTTTAGAATTGGATATCCGATTCAAGATGACACTTCAGCTTTAATCATCATACAGCTTTTGCTCAGTCAATTTTACAGACTGAGCAAAATTTTGCTGCGATAGTAGCTTCGAGTTAAACCGACACATTGAGATTTTACAATATTGCACGAGGTTTCACATATTTGCATTTTAAAGCTTTGACTAAAACCGTTAAACTTTGATAGTTTTTGTAAGCTCAGTCATCCAGGTAGATAACAACAAATAAGGTTAAATCATTTCATCTAGATCATGTTTCTTTAAGTGAGAAGCGTTTCGTCTCCCATCTGGAAGGCTTCGTCAGTCTACCTGCCAACCAGATCTGTCCCATAAGTAGCTCGGTTTGCACGTATTAAAATACTACTTTTGAGATTCCAGCAGGAAGTTGGCTTGAAACACAGCAATGAAGAATACCTATGGGACAGATCTGGTTGGCAGGCTGCAGACTGACGAAGTCTCCCGGATAGGAGACAAACCGTTTCTCACAAAAATAAACTGGTCCAGACGACATAATTTACCTTTTTGTTGTTTGATATTTTTCAGTATATTAAACGACTGTTGTTGTTGGGAAAGTAAACTTTTTTTTTTGTCCATTTGTGACGTTAGATTCTTTAAAAGCTATAACTAGCAATTAACAGATTGACTGATGAAGCCTTCCGGATCGAAGGTGAAACGTTTCAGCACAAAAAAAGAAATTGTCCAGATGACCTGACTGAAAAATGTTGGATTGTATACCTGGATTATTGAGCATGGACTTTGTTGTTTTCAACCAGTTTGACATGACTCAACAAGGAAGAGGGCCGGCAATGGAGGAGGGGGCGTACCAAAGAGACCATCTTATCACAAGCAGAACTGGTTTGTTCCACTATGGAGTAAGCTGTTGGGGGAAGAATCAGTTTTGTTGTGTGTTTCCTTGACCGATGAAGCTTTCCGGATCAAAGGTGAAACGTTTCGGCACAAAAAAAGAAACTGTCCAGATGACCCGACTGAAAAATGTTGGATAACTAGCAAATAACAAAAAAGGTTGAATCATGTCATCTGGACTTCGTTTTTTTTTGTTAAAAAGAAACGTTTCGCCCCTCGTCCAAGAGGCTTCGTCAGTCTGAGGCCTAACCATCTGGTATTACCCAGAAGCCACCCTGACTCTTGTGTTTCAAGCCTGCCTCAGATACCCCTGAGGTCTGGCCTTTTCACTAATGGTTTCAAAAACACAAAGTTTGTTTTCTCAGTCATCCAGGTATATAACAACAAAAAAGGTTGAATCAGAGAGGACATTGTTGTTATATACCTGGATGACTGAGAAAACAAACTTTGTATAACTAGCAATTGTTTTTTTTTGTCCATCCTTCAGCCTAAAGATCAAATGGAAGGGTTTAAGAAAACTACTTAAAGGTGCATGTTTTCCCATCCATCCCTCTGTTTTTATGGACCGACTAACAGATGAGGTCAGGCAGGAATCCTCGTGGACGATGATGTTTGCAGATGACATTGTGATCTGTGGTGAGAACAGGAAATAGGTGGAAGAGAACTTGTAGAGGTGGAGGTATGCACTTGAAAGAAGAGGGATGAAAGTCAGTCGTAGTAAGACAGAGTACATGTGTGAGAATGAGAGGGAGGAGGTGGAACAGTGAGGCTACAAGGAGCAGAGGTCACAAAGGTGCAGGACTTCAAAGACTTGGGGTCCACTGTCCAGGAGAATGAGGAGTGTGGTAAAGTGTTGAAGAAGAGAGTCCAGGCAGGATGGAGTGGATGGAGAAAAGTTTCCGGAGTGATTTGTGACAAAAGAGTGTCAGCAAAGGTCAAAGTAAATGTTTACAAGTTGTGAGACAAGCTATGTTGTATGGTCTGGAGACAGAGACATTGACAAAACGACAGGAGATGGACAGGAGCAGAAATGATGTTGAGGTTCACCTTAGGATTGACAAGGCTGGATAAGATTAGGAATGAGATCATCAGAGGTACAGCACAGGTTGAACAACTGGGAGATAAAGTTAGAGACCAGACTGAGATGGTTTGGACATGTCCAGAGGAGGGACAGTGGTTTGGACATGTCCAGAGGAGAGACAGTGGTTTGGACATG